CCAATTACAATGGGATAAAGGCCAGTGGTTGAGTGGGTTGTTAAGAAGGCATTGAGGGCTTCAATTTGGTATATTGGTTCTTGGCAAAAGGTGGCCGAAGGACGGAGTTATGGTGGTCCAAAATTGGCACCTCAAAACTGTCCAAAATTCGGGCTAGCTCACTTTGGTCCTTTATATTTGAACTAAAGGCATAACGGTCCTCCAGTGACCGTTTATGAAAGAAACTTAAACTTCAGTGACCGTTTGTGAAAGTGCATAAAACTTCAGTGACCGTTTCTGCAAGTTTTGAACTTCGGTGACCATTTTGTTATTTTTGCGTAAGTTCAGTGACCATTTATGAAATTAACCCTTTGAGATATTCTTAACGCATGCGTAGTTGTATCAAATCCCTATTTGGCATAATTTGAAAAGAAATTTAATCAAAATTAACAGTTAATATTAACCATACATTTTATAGAATTCACAGCTTTTATCAATTTTTCAATCAAACCCTTCATCTATTTTTATCAAAATATAACAAAAATCTAAATTTTTGCTACACCAAACATGGTCAAGTATCCATAAAACTGTGTAATGTTTCAATACGATAAAATAGTCTATTAGACATATATAGATACTGTATGGCGAAACCAACGAGCAAAATGTGTAAAGGATCGTATGTGGCAAACAAATTCTGGTAAACACGTACATCTTGGATAAAGCCTCCTTTATTGAAGCAAATTACAAGAAGCAGGTGGAATTTAGCTACATGGTCAAGATCCCGGATAATCTATAGCTGCATTGACCCTTTAAGAACACCTTCCAACTGGGGTTTCAGTAAATTAACATCCACTGCATTGTAGCCAGTTTTAACGTCCTTTTTCTCAAAACAATACATGGGGGCCTGCCACTTCGCATCATCGAGTACAGCTCCGACTTCAAATGTCATTACGTGAATTGATCTTCCTGTAGTTGTACAGACGATTGCAGCAAATGAGAATTTTACCGAACTAACAATTTTACGAGGTGCTAAGCCAGAGACAAATCACAAGTTTCTTTCAAAGGGATAGGATACCAATTAAAACATCTAGTGTTAATGCATAAATTTCACATCAAATAAAGATGAAAATATAGACCAACATATAAAGAATTAGACTACTCTTTTTAATAAGATCGGCCTTTCAGGATGGAATCTCGAGTCTTAATATAGTATCAGGGCTCATTAAATTCCATTGAGAAATTTGATCAAATTAAGACTCGAAGAATAGACACGCGGATTTCAAGATTAGTTTGCTCAAACAACCCACCACCTTGTAGTGACATGTTAAGGGATAAATTTAATATCGACTAAAGATGTAAATATAAACCAACATATAAGGACTTGATTTACTCCTCTTAGTAAAGTTCTTTTTAAGATGGAACCTAAGTCTTAGCCCTTATCTGAGAACGCTTTTTATCCAATTTGAAGCAAATTTTTTAACATTATACAGTGTATTTTAGTCTCATACCAGCCGCAATTATTGGCTGGGCCAAGAAGAATAGGACGTGTGCCCCTTTAATATTTAATTCATTCTTTTTGAAAGATGGACATTTCAAGTAATTTATTTATACTACAGTCAATAATTACACATGGGCATAAATATATAGTAGCTATTTAAATTGAAAGATCATAGTCAGGAGTTTCTATGTAACATTTCATGTGAGTTCTTGTTCCCTCAGTTTCTTGAATATTCTTAAATGATGCAACCAATTTGCACTACAAGAAGTTTGCTATTCATTCTTCTTCACTGATAAAATTACTATTATGCTAAGTGTTACGCCTTGAAAAACTAGGACCCATGAAGGGGCCCCATTAGCTTACGTGGCGAACAATTCGGGGGACCATGCCTCATACATTGGCATAGGGTAGCCCAGCTACATGCAGGCGAACCGATTCAGGCACGAATGACCCACCTTCGCCACATAGAACGCCTGGACCGATCCCGTTACATGCAAACCCCATGGTAGGAGCCGGCCCAAGACGAGACAGTAATGAGATCTTGAATGGATCTCATACCATGTGAGTTGACAAGACAACTTACTGCCACGCCGACATCCTATTCGGTCAAATCTAAAGTACAAGTTAGGCTTTATGGACACAAAAGTGGTCATAGCATTTAAGGCTGTGATTGGTTGATGTATATGACAAGAAAGGGAAGTCGTTTAGATGAGGCCACGTGCACTAACATCCAATGGACTCCATTCGTTTTCCCTAAGTATAAAAACTCACACTTGACATTCGAGGGTAATGCAAGTTTAGACTCTCAAATCTAGATTCTTGCTACTCACACATTTTACATTTTTTACCCCAAAGCCGACCCCCATTTTTGAGGTTCACGTTTAAAGCTCTTCCACACTCTAAAACTAATACGCCAACTAACTTGACCGTTGAAGTGCGCGCGGCCAACTCCACCCCTCCCGGAGAAGACCAGTGTGACTAACGATTTGTTAAAGTGTGCTGGAACTCAGCTTGCGTGGATGAGAGGCCTGGGATATGTTGGCCACACTGGTACCTTTTTTGGGGTCAACGCTGAGATTGCTTCATAATCTTTCGCACATAGATCAAAGTACATGTGCACATTTTGAATTGTAACTTGTAGAGAACAAATTTGATATCAATAAATCTTTCAACGAACATCAAAATTTACTACGACCTACACTTTGATTTACTTTGTTAAAATGACTATCTATTGCAATTCTTTGGCATGCATTGCCATTATAATTCACCCGAATTGACACCAAAATGAGTAGAAATATAATTCTTCAGTAATCCTCTCAAATTGAAGAAAAATCACTAGATATAGCAAAAACCAAAGAAATAGATTATACCAGTGTAGAAAACCCAATGGACCGGCCGCTTTGTGACAATGTCCTCATAATACCAAATGAAGTCGACCTTCTCCCAGACATTACACAGGAATCCGTCAACATATTCCTGGCCGAGATAGGTGGCTCCGTCGAGCCAATTGGGTCGGAGAATCCCAACCTCCAGCTGTATTGAGCGACATTCCTCGTTCGAATCGAGAGTGTATTGGAAAGATGTGCCATTGTTCCACTCAGCGTCATATAGGAGCTTCCCCAACTGGTCCTGGACAATGTTGAAGTTTCGGCCGTTGGGCCAATCGTACCAAAGGTCTATTAGGCTGAGTGAGCCGCTGTAGTTGACGAATAGGATGGAGTGGAATTGAAGGGGCCATGGGGCTGGAGTTGGGTCGGTTGAAGTGGGTTTTTCTGTAGCTGATGCCAAAATTGAAGTGGTTGCTGTGATGAAGAAGAAGAAGAGAAGAGTAGAAATGTAAGTGGTGGCTTTCATCATTGATGAGATTTGATTTCCTTACCCAAATTTCCAATTATTCGAGGCCAGAGCTGCTGAGCAGATTTCTGAAAAATAGCAGAAGAGGTCTCCCAATCTAATGCTCTTGTTAAATTTTAATCCCTAATCTGAGACCATCTCTACTCCCACCACCCATTTTCAAATCAAAATTGCTATTTAGTCCATCCTTCGATCATATTTATTATTGTGACCCTTTTACTTAAATATTTGTTGGACTTTGGCCCACCAATCCCCCCAATAGGAGAAATAACCAAATTTTTTGTTCCTTTCTAATTTTTTCTGAACAAATTTTAATTTAGAGGTATTGGGGGAGTTGCCCTCTCTTCAAATTCTCTACTACACGTCCATTTTTAACAAATAAAAAGTAAAACATCAAATTCGACAACAAATTACTGTAACACAATAGAGAATAATTTATAATATATAGTAAGATGTAACATGAATAGATATCAAGATGAATAATATTGAATTAATAGGGGATAAAATAGTTTAAACATATATAGCACTCACTTGATTGACTGACTAACGTGTGGAAATTGGGTAGAATAGCCTATTTGCAAAGTTTGTTCGGGAAAATAGTCTGTAACCAGAATATTAAAATCAAAATAAATATTTTCATATAATGAATATGAACTGTCCAAAATACCAAACCAAACCATAACAACACAACACAATCCAAAGTAACGATATATTCCCAAATTAAAATCTCGTATCCTTCCTATCATATTCAAAACCATCATCTCCTTCATCATTCTTCTTAGGTATGTTTGTAATATAACAGTATGTATATGAAATGCAATTTCAGTGGATCGATGATAATGAGTCTGTTTTGTTGCTTTGAAGTTCGTGAGGCCGATAGCACTACCGTTGAAGATTGTGGAGGTTTTGAAGTGAATCACAACATTGATGTCTACTGTAAAGATGAGTGAATAGGTGTTGTAAAGGTTAAAGGCAATTCAGAATTTGTCGTTACTTTTGAAAATCCACCAGACGAGCTTCCTTTTAGGATTTTTGACTGAGTTCACAGGGGACTGGTTCGGTAGATGCCGGGTTCGACCCATAAATCCAGTAAAAATTACTGAGTTTCACATTTCCTCTCTACTTTGAAATATTATGTTCATTTTATACATTTTCTTTTAGGTTTATGCATTTGATGTCGGATGAAAGGGTTAATTGGTTGAGTTTAGTATGTAAGTAGCAAATTATTTTCATCTGGTTTCTATTTGGGAATTAATGAATTTAGAAAGTATTCTCCTTATTGCTAGTTCACTGAATTGTAATTTTTGTAGATTGGATTTATTCAAACTCATCTCTTTTACTACTACTATTGCCATCTTGATTATGCCCAAAGAATAACGCGTTAGTTGTAGTGCAACTTTGGGGATATTCACATGGAGATGGTAGAATATTTAAAGAATAAAAAATGTTGAATTGTTTTCTTAAATGTGTAAT